ATGTTGACTGGGGAATCTGGGAGTTGAAGTCCACACATCTTAAAGTTGCCAAGTTTGAAAAACACTGCTCTAAGCCACGCGTGGCAGATGGGCACTTTCCCTTGCCCTGGTTTAGGAGTCTCAAGTGATGTTATCAGAAGGAAAAACAAGGTTCTCTCTCTTTTTTTCCTTTGCTACTTCTTTTTGGTGTTTAAGGTCGTTTTAATTATATGTACAATAATGGCCCTCTCTCTGCTGCAAACAAATTTTGGTCCCTTTAAGATTAAGAGCATAGTTTAAAAGAGCTGTGAACAAGGCTGAGGAGAGCATCGAACTAACATCATTCCTAACAGCATCTGATTAAAGTTTGAAATCTCCAAGAAGCTGGAGTGCCAGAGGATATGCAGAGGGACTTCTGTTTCAGAAACTGCCATTTGTAGAAATAGGTAACACAAGTCCAGCCAGGAAATGCAGTCAGTTTCATGCCTGTTTCCTCTGTTGTGCTACGTTAGGTCAGGTGGTTTCCTGTTCTTATTTTTCTGTACAAGCTAGAGAAGTGTGTGCAATTCCAGCCTTTATAATTCAAAGTGGACATGAAGGAATATTTTTATTTATTTAGAACATTATTGTAATCACTAATCATTTGAATCCAATCTCTCTGAGAGCTTTTTTAAACATTTGAAGCAGGTGACCACCATCTTGTGATCTAATCAGAACATGTGGAGTTTTCTGTTAATTCATTTCCTAGGAGCTATATTCTGTATACCAGCAGCTCTGTAACACCTTCAGTGCTAAGGTTGGTGTCTTGATATATTTATAAAGAAGGCTTTAAATCATTTTTACAGTAAAGTCTGATTTCATTTATCTCTGGTGAGATCAGCTTGTCTCCCGGGAGAGAGAGGGAAGGGCTAATCCTCTAGCCACAGATCCATATACGGTATGGCCAGGAGGTAGTATTTTAGAAGTTATTTCGATTTTTGTATTCTAAGCTTTTAGTCACCACAAAAGTAGCACCATACAGCAGAGTTTGGTTTCCTCTGGAAGATAGATAGTAGAAGCAGGAACTACTAAGGTGGAGGTACTACTAGCCCACTACCACAAAGCAGGAGGTGGGCCAGGGTGTGAAGACCTAGAGGACTTCAGAAAGAGAGGACGGGCCTCTAGGCTTCCACCCTATGGCTCAGTACTCCACTGCAGGGTTTTTTAAAGGGGAGAAAGTTTGGCTAGGTCTGATTAGCTAATCTATATTGTCTCTATTTTTCTAAAAGGTTTATATGAAAACTTCGACCAAAGCCATGATGGGTGGCAGAGATCAATATCTTTATGTCCATATGGCAAGTCTGGCATATGGAAGATTGTGACTTGGAATGTAAAGAGGAGTAAATAGTAAGGAGCATGAATTAACAAATGAAAAGAAAAATGGATATATTGTAAAGGGAAAGAATGTAATAAATCTCAGTGAAGATAGTCTGATCTTATGGAATGGAATTGATGAATATTCCAGGGAAGTGAAGGTGTAGTTTAATGATGAATGAAAGAACTAAAATGCATGTCAGAAAGTATGAAAAGGTGTCATCTGGATTGTTGTGGATGCATATGAAAGGAGGTCTCCATAGAATGATGATAGTTGCATGTTATGTTCCAGTGAATCATGATAATGGAAGAATCAGAGATGAGTTTAGGGGAAAATTGTGCAACACTGTGAATGAACGTGATCCGGGGGAAAGATGATTCTGCTAGATGACGTGCTGTGAGGCAATACCTCTTCAGACTTGTTGATAGGTCCAACCATGTGCAATTATCTCAAAGTCCTAAACCACAATTTTGACATATGTTTAAATACATAGGTATGTATTTATTTATATAACAGTCTCACCCACAGAGATTTCTGTACATTCCTATTCATGTACCCACTAGCTATACCATAGCCTTCATACTCCTTAAATGAGAAATTATCTCTTGCTACAATCAGTATTTAATAATTTGCATACTCAAGAACAATTGTACTACCTCCTCTGAATCCAAAGCCGCATACACTTCATGCACAAAATATTATAATGACCACAGCAGGAAGTCAAATAGCAAATAAGATAACTATGTTTAATCTGCTCTTAAGTAAGATTTAGAGTTTATTGGTTTATGTTTTGGAGCTTATGAATCACTGTTTCCTTCTGTTTCATGTTATGGAGAGAAACTACTTGCAAAGGAGACAGAAGACAACTACTGTATGCAATTTGGACTTCTGGGGGTGGTATGATGAACTGAAGACGGCTCTGCAAAAGTGGAGCCGACAACTGCGGCAAAGACCAAGGAATCAGTGAATAGGCCAGTTTTGTTGGAACCTCTCTGGATAATAAGAGGATGGGAGATTGCCCACTGTGCTCCAGATGGCTGCTTATCACAAGGAGGCTGCAGGACAGTGGCTTTCCACAGGTTTGAGCACCAGGAGACGACGGGATTAGTCATCTTTCTCACAACCACGACAGAGACTTTTGAAGAACACTTAAGTTCACAAACCTTACTTTCTAATCACTTTTGGAAATTGCTCATTAGCTACTTTTAAGCTATTAGAGACCTTCGGAATGACAAGTTGGAAAATGCCAGATGAGTCTGCCTTTAATCCTGAACAAAAGAAAAATTTAATCTTAACCTTAAGAATTTAAAGAATCTGAAATAAACAGCAAAAAGCTAAATAAGATTTTGTTGTTAGAAAGTTATGTGGACTTTATTTTCCAGATAAAATTGGAAAATTGAAACTTTTACAATAAGATTTTGGAATTAATTATAAAGAACAAACAGGTCTCGTGGGAAATAGATTCTGTTTTGGTTGTTACAAGACATAACAAAGATAAGCAAGTTCATGATTTCAAAAACTGGACACTAGAGGGGACCAAAGAGGAAAGATTTACAAGCCTTTGCAAAACATTATAACAATAAAAATACTGAAGGAGACTTCTGAAGAATGAAATCAGAAAATAGTAGCCACAATATCAACAATGTCAGTAATGATGTCTGCCTCAATGGATAGACTATGTCCAAAATATGTTATTGAAGAAATGACAGATGTAGTACAAATTTTATCTAACAAGATAGAGATAGTATCAAAAGTTGATTTATAACTGACAGGCCAACATAATGTCTTGGAAAAGGATGTTTCATTGGATCTACAAAAGAAACTGGCTGAGGTTTAAAATTTAAAAGGGAAATACAAATGACAAACCAAGAGAGTGACCTGGATAATTTTTTTCCTATTGGATTTACAAAAAAGGCTTGTTAAAGCCTTGAAGAACTCTGTGTGGTGGGACAAAGAAGAAATGAAGAGAAATCAAATCCTACAACAATATTTGAATGAACTAAAGGCTAAGACTGTTAGAAG